GTGGAGAGGAATGGCAGGGGCAGCGCTGGGTGTGCCCAAGGGTAGAGGCCAGGGTTTGAAAGCCCCCTCACCCCCAGCAGCTGTGACATCAGCAGAGGGCCCTGGCTTGCAGAGTTCCTTCCCATGGTGCGGTCTCCAACATCGCCCACTTACCTCTCATGGCCTCCAGAGGGGTAGAGTACCCCGGTCCACACCTCCCACATCCGGTAGCTGCGAAAACAATGGGGCACGGTGGCTGGACCACACTCTGGAGGGTGAAGTTTCCTTCCCTGCTATAACCTGCCCCCCTACCACGGCCAAGGCAGATGCACTGTCCCAGGCCCCATCCCGATTCCAGCCCCATCACCCCAAGCATCCTTTCAGCACCGATGGTGTTGGGTGCGACCAGAAGCACTGAAGACATAGGACCTGAAGGTGGACACACTCAACAGGACCCAGGGGAGGACAGGAGAGGGACCAGTGCAGTGGAGGCTGGATGGTGTAGTGGTTATAACATTGACTGGGGTCTCATTTTCAGTTCTCACTAAGTAAACGTGGGAGCTGAGGCACATAACTTAACCTCCCCCGTACCCACTCTTACCAGAAGTAACCAAGAGGGTGTGGGCAGTTATGTAGCTCTGTGCCAGCTGGTTGGAGCAGGGGGAAAACTGGCTGTTCCTCAGGAACTAGCCTCGGGGTCCAGAGTGTGCCTGCTCACTTCCTTCCCCAAAATGTGTCTCCTTCAGGGACTGGGACACTTCATGCTTTTCTGCGCTTTGGGTCCTGACCCCAGGCTGCTGGCCAGAGCCAGGATTATACAATTTAGGGCCTGGTAAGGCTTAGGGGGCTGAAGTTCAAGGCTACCGGACCCATGGCACCTGAATGTCCTCAGACTAGTTTTACCCCTGGGTGGGCCCCACTTTCTTAACATGCACAATAGGGTGTTTAGCCCACTATGGAGAGCTCAGAGGCCTGCCCACCAAAGCTGTAGAGAGTGGTTCTCCGGTCCCCTGGAGTCTGGCAAGAGAAGCCACACTGATCTATGGGAAGGAAGCCAGCAGCTGAGAAGGAGGGCTGCCGGGACCAGGCATCAGGCGGCAGGGTTTGGGGCCTGACCAGGAGGATGGGCTGAGGAATAGCACAGAGGGAGCTGCAGGTTGAAGGAAATCGCCAAGTGCAGCCCTCAGGCCTGGGCACTCCTGGCCTGTCCCAGGGCCAGTCTGTCTAGTGTCCTGACAGCTGGGGGCTGCATGTGGGGAGCCAAAAGCAGCCAGGTGGAGCCTGCACTGGTGCCTGGGCCTGGACCTAGGCCTTCAGCCAGGGAGCAGGTCCACTACACAGCTGCCAAGGGCTTAGGAGGCTAAGAGGCAGCTGCAGCGTTTGATTGTCCAGGAACCTGGTTTCAAGCTCCTGGTGTGCTATTTACTCCCTCCAAGTTTTCCCCTTCACTTGCTAAAAGTGGGTAATAATATCCCGTTTTCCTCTCTAGGTGGCTATGAATGTCAACTAGGACACTGTGTGCAGGAGGGCTTTTGTAAAGGAGAAGATTTGTATAAATATGGGTAGGGCTGTACCAGAAAGGGGTGAGGGTCCCCGGCAGTACTTGGTGCCCTGGGTGGGGTGGGGGGGAGTGAGGGTGGGGCGAGATGAGAGAGAGGTCAGTCCAAAGGGGAGTTGTTCAGCTGCACAACCAGCCTGTGTCAGGACTTGTCAGGGGCGACAAGGGGGAGGGGAAGGAGAGCCTGAACACAGAGAGGGAAGGAGGTTCAATACCCTAGATAGGAAGACAGACACAAATACTGCCAAGCCAAGCAGAGATGGAGCTGATGCCACCTGCATGGTCTTCCCACACCCAGTGAGCATCAGCCCTTTTCCTGGGGAACACTCTCTGAATATATTTGGATTTGAGATGAACCCAAAGAAACTCATTAAGTTTTCCCAGTCCCAGGCTGGTTGCTGGGCATTCTGCTGGCCCAGGAAAGAGCCAGATTTAAGGGGAAAAAGACCGACCTCTCCAACCAGACCCAAACTCCTCAGCCTGACATCCATTCCCACGGCTGGGGGAATAGAAGGACTTCGGGTATTGAGATGGCAGTGATGGGGCAACAGGCCCACCCTCCCCCAAAAGGGACTGGTGATTTGGGGTAGCTAGAGCACAATCCTGTGTCTTGAAGGCCTGGGGTCCCTACTCCCTGTGGAAAGAAGCTGGCCCAGGGTTGAAATCAGGATTGTGTTTCCTATGGGGACTGCCAGGGACATAGAGGTTCTACTCCTAAGTGCCCAGCACCTGAGCCACAGCTGGGGAGCTGGTGGTGGAGTCCAGGGTCACCCTTCAGAGCATGTCCAGAACTTTGGCTGAACTGGTAAATGAAGGGGGGGGGAAGGTGGGGACAGAGGACTGGAGTCCAGCCCTTTATTCTGTAACCAGCCACCCCCCACCCAGGTTTTCTGCCACTTCCTGGAGGGTGGTCCAGGGGTGGGCACTGCGTGGTTGTGGTGGTCAGAAGGCCCCCTCCTTACCCATGTTGCTGGCTGGTGCCTTTGGGTCCTGCCGGGTCTGCCAGGAGAGGGCAGAGAATTCGCCGCGCTGGAGTCAGAGGCAGGAAGTGCCTGGAAGGCCGTCCAGGGGCAGAAGCAAAGGGAAGAAATTTATTTGACCATTGGGTTTGGGTGGAGCAGGGGGAGGGCCAGGGCTGCAGCCAGAGGGAATGACTAACGACTAAGGGCAACGGGCCAAGAAACTCTCACATGGCCGGAGTAGCTGGGGTTGAGTTACAGGGAGAGCATTTTTGTGTGTGTGTGTGTGTGTGTGTGTGTGTGTCGGCAGCTCTGTGCTGTGCCTGTGCACTATCCCTCTCAGGGGTGCCTGGGCATGTGTGAGTTTGTGTCTGAGCCTGTGCACCCTCCTGTCACCGCGGTGTCTCCCTTGTGGGTGCTTCTATGTATGTGGCTGCATGAGTGTGTACCTGTGTCTATATGTGAACGTGAGCCTGTGTGCGAAGATCTGTGCTTCTGTATGTATGTGTGTGCCTGTGTGAGTGTAGTTGTGTGTCTGGACTTGTGCGTGTTCTGTGTGCTTATGCGACATGTACCTGCCAGAATATTGAGCCTGTGTGAGCATGTGCCCATGTGGGTGGTGTGCTTGTGTGAGTGTGGGCATGTCCTGCACTTGTTCCTGGGCCTCCTTAGACCTGTTCTTAGACCTTCCTGTTGGTGTTTAGGGGCACCCAGGGTTGTGGGCCTGTTTGTTCCTCCTTGCACGGCCAGGTTAGCTCTCCTCTGAGATGATCCTCTTATTCCAGACATCTGTGCTCCAACAGGCTCACCTCTACCCTTCCAAGGCCTGCAAACCCATGTCTTTCTGCCGCAGCTGCCTGCCAGGAACTGGGACTGGGTAGTGTCCAGGTTCCACTTCCCCCTGACCCGTTCATTCCCTTTGAGCTCTGAAATGAGGGAAACTCCTCAATGCCTATTACTACCCTCATAAACCTCAAGAAGTGGAAGTGGGTGCCTCCCTGTCATGTCCCAGCTGGTTCCTCAACAGGTCCCCAGGGTCGGGTACAGGGCCCAAGGGCAGCCCACCATGATGCCACTATCCCTAGCTCACCTACAGTGAGAATGCAGACACAGGAAAGAGCCGAGGGGGGTGAGTGATATTGGGGATGACAGGGGACCCCTGTCCTGGGCAGCCACAGAGGATTTCCCTCTGTGGACTCATGACGCCTCCTCACTCATGGGAACTAGGGGGACAGACACCCTTCACACTGAAGACCAGTTTTGCTCTCCTTTCCTCCACTCTGGTTTAGAAACCCTGTGGCCCTTTCTACTGGCAGCCTCAAGCCCAAAATTGTCCCTCTTACTACCCAGTGAGAACTTCACCCCAGAGCTTTCATCAGGGAGATGGAAATGACTGTAGGCACAGCATCATCAGCTTCCTAGAAGAGTTGGGCGGGGCTACCCTGTCAGGCAGCCAGTGTGGAGGAAAGAGGGAGCCTTGGCTTCAGGAAGGAGATCAGTTTTGGGGAGTTCCCTTGTCTAGCCATTCAAACCCTGGTGACTCTGGAGGAGGGCAGCCCCAGGGAGTTAACAGATCAGGACTCAATCTTGCTTCAGTTCTTCAGCAAGCAGTTGTCATTTGCCTGGGGACCATGGCATGTACCCGGGACACTACAGTAGCAGGCTTGGCACCCTTGGATTCATGACTCCTTCAGCTGGAGGACTCCCTCCTGGATAGATGAAGACCCTGAGTCTTGTGATTTGTCATAGAAATTACGTTACTTATCCTGTTACACATCTAATCTATGGGGGAAAAGGTGAAGTGGGTTTGAAAACCAATCATGTGGCCTAGAAGAGGTACCAGCAACATAGGTTACAGGGACACAATGAAAGCTTGCCACCCCCCACCCACCCTCCCT